TTGCCTCCTCCTTTGTTTCCCCTTCCCATCCCTTCCCATCTCCCCCTCCCCCCCCCGCCAAAGTTGTAAAGTTCGTTTTTTGACATAATGACTTGTACATCTCATTGGTGCAATGGGTCCACCTGTATCCCTATTTAAACAATTTGTTTTTTCCCTTCCCCTCCACAAATTATACCAACATCAAATATAGCGAGAGCAGGGGTTGTACTGTGGGGGAGGGACATACAAAGCAACAAAGAAATCATCTAATAAATATGTTAGAAACAATCACATGAAAGAAAAAAGATTTAAATACTTGTCTTGGGGTTCATTTCACCTAACATCAACTTATCTGACCTTTTCTGCTTGTCTCAGACATAGGTCCCATGGTTTCCCTTATTTGCAATAACTAGTGTATGTCTGAGACAAGTACAAAAGGTCATATAAAATCACTTTCAACAGGTTTAATTGTTCTAATTTCATAGATGTTTGTAAAGTACTTTAACAAGAGTCACCTCTCCCTATACACATTTCTTTTGCTCTCCCCTTTCTGCTGGTTCCTATTCCCCAACAGAACCTGTTTTACATTAATTCCTGTCATTTATTTTCAAGGATTAGATTATTCATATAAAGAGAGAACATATAATATTTGTCTTTCTCTGTATGGCTTATTTTGCATAACATTATAGTATTTAGTTCCATCTATTTGAACATTAAAATTTTCATTCTATAGGTTGTAGCCTACTGTTGAGTAATACACACACACACACACACACACACACAAATACAGTTATTTGGTTTTCTATATATATATTACATAGCCATTTGGTGTGTATTTATATATGTATGTGTATATACATGTGATATGTATATATGACCACAGATATAGAGGGAAATGAATCTATGGATCTATACTAAAAGAAGATGGACTAATGTGGCAGGAACTGGTGGAACACACCTATAATCCTAGCTACTCAATAGGCTAAAATCTGAGGTTCTCGGTTCAAAGCCAGCCTGGGCAGGAAACCCCATGAAATGCTTATCTCCCAGGCCCCTCAGTTCAAGCCACACATCTGGCAAATGCACACATGCACACACATGCATGAATGTGTATGTATATGTACACACACACACACACACAATAAGCTAATATATTCCAAATTAGAGCTCAAGATATCTTAGATAATTATCATTTTGTCATAATCAGGAGATTTACTGAATCATATCAATGGCTATTCTGTAAACAAACAATATGGGAAAGTCTGTACACTTTACTTGTGTTATTGTCTGATAGCATAACTTCTTTAAAACTCTTAAGGAGAAAAATCTAGTGATGCTATTGAAATAATACAAGGTTATAAAATACAGTGAGAATTCCATGGAGACCCTGTAAAGAATAACCCTAATTAGAATAAAGATTAAAATTCAGTGTAGTTGGTTAAGTGAACTGTTAAGTCAATTCTCTAATCAATGGAAATATCATCCATCTTCGTTAATTTTTATTTTAAATTTCCTAACAAGGACCTCATAATGAGAAAGGTTAAATCTCTCAAAACAGATCCATTTTAATCACCCACACACAACAGAGGTAAGGCAAAGGCACCAATTTGACTAGTTTTTATCTGTAGGATTTTCCAAAGAAAATTTTTCTTTAGGCTTTAAATCCAACCCAAACTGTCAGTGAGAAATGTGCACAGGTTCAAAAGCACTAAGAAGAGAAGGGAAGATTTATGAGGACAAACTTCTAGTAGGTGCAAAAGCCATTTCAAGCATGCTGTAGAAATAGTATAAACCTGTAGACATCCAATCCAATTTATAGACCTATCAAGTACCTAGTGTATGTACAGGTGCAATACCAGATGATGTGAGGGACAAGATAATTTATAGACATAAACCTTCTCTCCAGAGTTTTGGGCCTCCTTATTTAAATTTATTTCATAAGTAATTGTTAAAGTCTGTACTGGGAATGCAAAGATAAGTAGATAACTGTCTGCTCCTGCATACCTTTTAATAGGGGCTGTCAGACTTCAATGTGTAATTAACAGAAACCCAAGAGGAAAGTGATAAAGTTTGAAAAAGGTGACTGTATAAGTTATCATACCAACAAGACATAGTTTAAAGAGCATTTTACCAATAAGACACCAGAATAACAACATAATTCAGAATGACCTAAACAAACCAGCACATTTGTTCATGCTAGATAAAAGGAATAAAGATAACCAGGAATGAGAATATATTGGAGAGAAAATAGTCTTTCTAATGGGAAGAGGGAAACATAACCATCTTGCAGGCAATATTTAAACTGGTCCTGTAAGAATGGGCACAGCATTGGTACCCACTAGACACTTTATTGAAAATGAACTATATAACTGTGGGTAGGGACAGGAAGGGAAAACTGGGAGACAGCAAAGGTAGGAGTGACATTGTTCAAAAAGAAATGTGCTCTTTACCTGACTTATGTAACTGTAACCTCCCTGTATATCACCTTTATAATAACAATAAAAACATTTGTAAAAAACAAGAATGGGCACAATTTTCTCATCCAGAGTTGCTCACAAAGAACATTCTAGGCAAAAGAACAATCAAGATACAGCATGCTTTATGTAATATTCCAAAAGTCTATACTTCCCTCCTTACTTTGTCTCATCTACCAGGATCCTTGAAGATAATTCTTCTGAGATGAGGTTGCCTGTTGACATCCTAAATATGTATAATTTCACTCCTAACTCTCCAGATTTTTCATGTTGTTTTCAAACCCCAAATACTTTTCCCCAGTGGAATTGGAATATGAGTGTTCCTGCTTGGCTTCAAATATCACTTCAAACCTACATTTTTGTCCTGAAGCTCCTACACATGATTTCTAGACCGTGAAAATTTCATCCCTCTTATAAATTTATGTAATTTAGTATTTTATCACTTTGAAATTACTCATATCACAGTACATTGTATATCCAAGTTTAGCATTAAAACCCTATTAACTATTTTAACTTCCTTATTGTTATTGTAAAGGTGATGTAGAGAGGACTTACAGTTACATAAGTTAGCTAATGAGCATGTTTCTTTTGAACAGTGTCACCTCTTCCCTCTCTCTCTTGCTCTCTACCAGTTTTTCCCTCTTTTTTTAATTTAATTTAATTTTTTTATGAACATACTGTACAGAGGGGTTACAATTACATGGGCAGGATAATGCGTACATTTCTTATCAAGCATTGCAGCCTCCTCCTTTGTTTACCCTTCACATCCCTTCCCAGCCTCCCCCCCCAGTTTTTCCCTCTTAAGCCCCCACCCCCCCACCCAAGTAGAGTTCATTTTCAACAGAGTGGTTGGAAGTATTACTGTTGCAATTGTCAATGGAGTGGTTGGAAGTATTACTGTTGCAATTGTCTGTCCCATGATTTATCCTCCCTTAAACAGATAAACTTACATACAAAAGGTCCAAAAAACAAAAAGAGCAACAATGTGTTTTCTAAGAAAAAACAAAAAGCAAAATAATACAAAAACCTCTTGTTTCTATTTCTTGAAGTTAATTTTGATAAACATCATGATTATATGCACATAGCTACCAAGCCTTTGTGATCCTCTCCTAAGAATACATTCCTCTCGACACTCACTGTGTTGAGTCCTTTATAATTTATCATGCCCAAATGTATATTTTTGTCTTTTAACATCCAGTATGTCTACCCAATTAATGAATGGGCTAAGACTTAAAGAGAGACTTCTCAGAAGAACAATTAAGTATGACCAATATACACATGAAGAGATGTTCAACATCTCTGGCCAAAAATGAAATGCAAATCAAAACAGCATTGAGATTCCATCTC